CCCCCCCGTGATGCCACTGATAGTGCTGTAATACTAAGACATAACATTCTCTGGAAGTAGACATATACCTGAGCAGACATATACCTGGTGTACCACAAGAAGTCTAGTTCAGGTACAGTATGGCAACAACATTGAGTTAAACTATATTTCCACACTGGATATGTGTGGTTGTGGGAGACAGATTTTTCACAATAGGGACAATTTTGTTATTGGAGTAGAAAATAACCCCATTATATAATTAATTCTAGGTCTTCATGCAAATAAAAGCAAGTGTTTCCCCACAGGGCTCATGCCTGTTTTCTAATTTTTAGAGGCTTTTCAAGTATTAGGGCATTTTCAGCATGTCATGGGGCCTTGACATTTTAAGCCAAGAAGAGGCCTTTTTAACAGAAAGTGAGAGAAATCACTTCCTATTCACTTCCTGATTCAAGAGAGTGATCCTCACTCCCTAGACATTTTGGAGCATTTCAGTACAATGTACATATATATATTTGAAAAGTTTTGTAAAAATTGAATTTGACCCTGGAGTAGATGGGCAGGTGGCTTCCACATGTGGTAGAAATTCCCTCTACATCCCCTAGAGTGTATTTAGGGGCATTCTGGAGCAACAACAATAACAATAATAATAATATGTTTTTTAACCCCCTGAGAGGCCTTGGGGGCCACAAAAATAGCCTTGGGGGTGTTTGCAGCCCATGGGCTGCACTTTGGTCACCCTTGCTATAGATAACAAGATCCAAAACAAACATTTATCTAAACCTTTAATTTGAGCAAATACACCAGCAAAAGATACAATATGAAATAAGTATGGTTTGATTTGAAGCAAGTAATTTATCATGACTTTAACAGCTACCAAAACTATTTTAATTTGTTGTTTGATTTATGGAATAAGAAATAACAAAGAGTCAATGACAAACAAGATCGATACATCATTTGGAGAACTATTTAGAATTATCTGTTTATGTAGCCCAGTATTTCCCAAACTTTGGTCCTCCAGGTGTTTTGGACTTCACATCCCAGAAGCTCTATCTACTTGGGCCAACAGTCAGAAATTCTGGGAGCTGAAGTCTTAAACATCTGTAGGACCAGAGTTTGTGAATCACAGATATAGCTTAATATAGTCTTACATGGGGAGCCAGTGTGGCATAGTGGTTTGAGTGTGGAGTACGACTCTGGAGACCAGAGTTCGAATCCCTGTTCTTCCATGGAAATCCACCCTGAACAAGTCATACAGTCTTTGTTTTACATATGATATTTTCAGCATACCAGTTAAACAGGGAGATAAGATGCAGCCTTGCCTGACCCCCCCCCTTGCAAATTGGAATCCATTCTGTTTCTCCATACTCTGTATTTTGCGTTATCCCTGGATACTTAAGTTCCATTGTATACAATGGGGTAGTAAAATGGTACCCCAATACCAAATGGCAAAATCAAGATTTGCTTTTTGCGTATGAAAATATTTTCAAGTAGACCACAAGCTGAACATGAGACAACATTGTGATTAAGTAGCTTACAAAAGCCAACATGATCCTAGGCTGCATCAATAGGAGTATAGTGTCTAGATCAAAGGAAGTAATAGAACCACTTTATTCTGATTTGGTCTGGAATATTGTGCACAGTTCTGGGTACCGCAGATCAGGAGGGATGTTGACAAGCTGGTGCATGTCCAGAGGAGGGTGACCAAAATAGTGAAAGGTTTGGAAACCATTCCCTATGAAGAGTAGCTTAGAGAGTTGGGTATGGAGACTTGGACACAGAGTAATGGATTCCAAATACAGGAAAAGAGATTCTACCTAAACATTAGGAAGAACTTGTTGACAGTGAGTTGTTCAGGTATATGCCGACTTGGAATGTGGTGGAGTCTCCTTTAAAGGTTTTTAAACAGAGGCTGGATGGCCATTTGTTGGTAGTGCTTTGATTGTGTCTTCCTGCATGGCAGGGGGTTGGACTAGATGGCCCTTGTAGTCTCTTTCAGCTCTGTGATTATAAACTGTAGATGGTTTAATCCAGGGGTAGGCAACATTTCCCCTTTAAGGGCCGAGGGACTTCAGCTCCCAGAAGCCTCAGCCATGTTGGCCAATAGTCCCATGTTGGCCAATAGCTCCTAGGATTCTGGGAGCTGAAGTCCCTTGGCCCTTAAAGGGGACAGGTTGCCTACCCCCAGTTTAATCGGTATCCTTGGCTATGTAAGGCTGACTATACTTCAGTTTTTTATAAGGACAATACATTGCTCATTACTTTAAAACATTTTTCTCCTCCTCTTTTCTTTTAAAAATAGAAAAATATAATATCCCCCAAAACATTTTGGAAGTAATGTGTAAATGTTACTAATCACACTACAAATACCTTATATGTTGCCAATAATGCTAAGATCTGAAGAAAATGAACATTGGCCCCTTTGCTAATTCAAAAGTAAAGGGGGATGAATGTACTGTATTATTTTATTTCTAAGCTCTGGCCTTGGCTGGTATTCAAGGTCTAGGTAGGGCTTGAGTTGTTGTGCTGACACGTTTCTTTTGACCTGGGCAGGAGTCTTTTGCACTTTGCCCCCTTTTGGGAGAGAGCATGAGTAAAGATGGTGGAGCATAAATAACTGTAAGTTGACAGTTAGGCAAATTTTAGAGCTTTGAATATCTAGAAGAATAAAGAGTAAAATACAAATATAAAATAGCAATTTTAATTAATTAAAATGTTGAAGCTATTGGGGAAAAAAATCAATAATTTCCCCCTGGTTTTTGTCTCTGTGTGTTGATAGGGTTAGCAACTTTAAATGATTCTCTGAAGATGCCAGCCACAGTTGCTGGCGAAACGTCAGAAAGGAACTCTTCTAGAACATGGCCACACAGCCCGAAAAACCCACAAAAAACTTTAAATGATTCATTCATAACTTAGAATGTAAAAAAAAGTACCATTGAATATTTGATATTGTATGAACAGAATTCTGAATGTTAGCTGCATCCGAGTTGGGCGAAATGTGGCATTCCAGATGCTACTGAACTGCAGCTTCTAGCATTTACTCATTATTGGCATTTCTAGGAATAATTGGAGTTGGCCAAGCTGTACTCTCTCTTTCTCTCTTTATTTTTATTTTTATTTATTTATTTCATTTGTATGCCACCTTTCTCCCAGAAGGGACCCAAGGCAGCTGTTTACAGTAAAGAGAGAGCTGTAAATCGCTGCACCCTGTATGGCTTAAGGTAAGCACATCTCAGATTTTTTTCTATCTGAGAGGCAGGAAGAAATGAAAACAAAAGCCACAAATGTAACGAATAAAATAAAGTGTATTAGTTGGACAGAAACTTTCTTACTGAGTTGGCTGTCAAAATATTTAGATATAAAGTTTAATTCTGTAGCAAAACTTTGAACTCTTCAGTAGTATAATATATAATTTATATATACTCGTATATTCTAACAAGCAGCAAAGGCCCTCTTTCTTAACAATGGTAGCGCTCATTAGGTGTAGAGGTACATCTTGATTCTGTATATTGTATATGTATATAGTTTTCTCAGCACCATCCATTCTTTCTTGCACACTCCCAAGGCAAGCCAAATATGTACAGCCTGGCCATGCGGCACAGTATCAAGCTGCACCACTGGGTATTTTGTTGTTGTTGTTGTTGTTGTTGCCTCCTCATCATACATGCACACTATCGCACAAACATACAGCGACCTCCAAGTACCTCCAACTTCCATTGCATGGCCACCTCTTTGATCAGCCATACGGTCGCACATCCAATGCTCCTCCAGTACAGGCCATCAGTGCATTGGTGTGTGAGTGATACATTGGCAAAGCAGAGTCATGGAGGCCCCCCCATATATACTCCCTTCATTCCTTGCACCCCTTTTGGACTGTCTGGTTTGTGTACCGTCGGCCCTCGGTATCCATGGGGGATCTGTTCCGGACCCCTCGCGGATACTAAAATCTGTGGATGCTCAAGTCCCATTGTTCCCAATGACCGCGCCGCCATTAGGAACAACAGGGCTTCTTACCTTCCTCCCCCAAGGGCTCAGAAGGCAAGAGAAGCTGTTTCTGGCTAGAACATAAAAAGTTAACTTGGGATCTGCCAGGCTGCCTCCGTCCCGCCTCTTCCACATTCTCATCGGCCACTGGTTGGAAGGAGCCATCAATCACCCGGTCCTCCTGCCTGGGTGATTGACAGCTCCCTGTTACCAGTGGCTGCCTCCACACTCACCTCTTCCAGAGCAGGACAGAGGCGGCCCAGTATGCCCCGAGTTAACCTTTTGTGTTCTGGTGAGGAGCAGCTTCTCTGTCCTTCTGAGCTCTTGGCAGGGAGGCAGGTAAGAAGCCCTGTTGTTCCTAATGGTGGCGTGGCCATGTAGCCGCGCTGCCACTGGGAACATCACGGGCTTGCTGTCCATGGATGTTTAAATCTGTGGATGGCAAGTCTGCGTATACAGAGGCTGACTGTATATTGTAATTACATCCATTAGAGTTGTTGCACTTTAATTGCTTTGCTTTGCAACAGACCCGCACTCACATCAGGACGTTTATATGTAGCAGTGAAGATGCACATTTTCTGCCATGAGTCGGACTGTCCCAGCTTCTTTTTGCTCTGGTTTTTAGTCCTAGAGTGCAACCACAGTCAATTTTCCAGCTGCTTTCAAGGCATGCATTGTCTAAATACCACACTTTCAAAGGGGCTGTAAACTGCTTTATTTTGCCTGTCTGTTTCACCCTATAGTCTGGTTCAAAAGCTATTTGGAGGAACTGTTTGATTAACTTCTTGATTAAGGAGAGTGAATGAGAGAGTTTTTTAAAAAGCTGAAATCATCTGCAATTTTTCCAGCTCAGGGGTGTTTGCTCCTCAAAAGGTATAGGATTTTTATAGGAAAGTTAATTAAATTATAGAGCCACGATCTTCTGTCTGTGAACTATAAAAATAGTCAGCCCTCAGTATCCGTGGATTCTGCATCCATGGATTCAACCATTCATGGCTTGAAAATATATTTTTTAAAAATTCAAAAAGGAAACCTTGATTTTGTTATTTTATATAAGGAGCACCATTTTACTATGCCACTGTATATATTGGGACTTGAGCATCCACAGGTTTTGGTATCCATGTGGGGTCCTGGAGGCAAACCCCAGTGGATGATAAGGGCACACTGTATATGAGAACCATGAAAATTAAATGATAAGTTTCTTCCCCCCCCCCCCAACAAACTGTTTTCATTACGGTTAGTTGACTGTATTTTCCTGCCAAGATTTATCTATTGTAGTTTGCAGTATAATTTTTGGTAAAAATTACTTTACAAAAGTTGTGATTTTCCAAGTGTTATTATTTGAGAGCCAGTGTTGTGTAATGGTTTAAGTGTTGGACTGCATGCAACTCTGGAGATCAGGTTTGACAGTTCTGTTCAGCCATAGAGTCCCACTCGGTGATCTTTGGCAAGTCACATTCTCTCAGCCTCAGATAAAGGCAATGGCAACCATCATTGATCATATGGTGCCAAGAAAACCTTGTGCTAGGTTTGTTTTAGGGTTGCCATAAGCTGGAAATGGCTTGAAGGCACACTATAACAAGAAATTTATTTTTCCTAAAAATAACTGTGTAGGCCAATATTTCTCTGTGTATATAGGTCAGAAGTTCTTGCATTTGCAGAAGCAGCTCCTGCAAATGAAATCAAAAGGGGACAATTTCCCACTCCTCCTGTGGTTCCTCACATATCCTAAAAACATGTTCTGGAGGTCTCTCCAAAGTAATTTTTTTTAGCATTCAAAAGGTCAGAGGAAATAGAACCAAAAATTCCAGTACTACCCACAAATATTCCACAGGATTTAGGCCATTATTATTATTACAGTAATCTAATAGAAATCCCAGTGGCATTATTATTTTGGAAGTGTTTATTCCAAAATCACTGAAAATATTCTAAAATATTCTAAAATATTCCAGTGTAGCTGAAAATGACTTTTTATTACACCATTAGCAGAGGAAGTGAGTAGAAATGGTGCTAGAGCTTCTGTGGACTTTATGCACATCACAGACTCTAAAATTAACCCTTGTGCAATCTTACTGAAGTGTTCATTTTACTTGTATAAGAATTTGGAATATAGATTAGCATGTCCAAAATGCCAGTAGGGAGGATGCATTTCCTCCTATAATTTAAAATAACAGCATTCCCCCCACCGGTTATTTAAAGTAGCACCCTCCACTGTTAAACGCTGAATAGGTGTGTGATTTATTCT